AAATTTTGACTTGGGCTATAGTAACCACCCCTAACCAACCTAGAAAAATTATAGCTATACACTAAAACTAACTACTCACCTTAGCAACTAATTGTCAGTGACAAATACCTATGTTGAACAGAGTTTTAGCAAATTTTGCCCCCCTCACTCAGGACTATATCAGACATCATATGATATTGGTCTTTTTTTATGTTAACTTATTTAATACTAGATTGTATGTAGAGTGTAGTTCTGGGTCAGCCCACATGTCCTTTGTGCTGAATTTAGCAAACATACTGTATTGTAGAGGGAGAGGTGAAGACCAACTTGCTTCATCACTGTCTGACACTAACAGACACCCCTCCCTCCTGCGGTCTCTGAGCCTGGGAGTGGAAATGCATTTTTCGGTACACTGACAGCATAACTAGGAATTGCCTTTCAAAGCCGTTATTGTATTAAAACTATTCCCATCCTGGGACTTATAATTTTCCAGTCCTTCTCTTGTAATTTAAGGCGTTTCTCGCCTTCTCTATCTAAAACGCAGACTGTATTTTATCTTGAAAAGGAGTGATTGGAAAGGAATCACAGGGGTGCTGTTTGTTTGCTGTAGCCTCTGCCCTCACTACTCATGTTGGGTGTTTTTATAAACAAAAAAAGTCTCAGGCAGAAAGTTCCTCCTAACATTCACCTCCTCAACCATATTTTCCAACAGGTCTCAATTGAAGAATGGGTACGGAAAATCTTATTCTTCGCATGGCATGTAAGGAGTGGTCACTCCTGAGGGAGATTAAAGGAATGGGGGGACCGAAAGGGATTTGTCACGTAGGACTGTTCAACCCTCCATAAAGGTCTCTTTGTGAACTTTACTTCACGATCACCAGGGAGCAAGTCAGTGCTCATGCCCAAGCCAAACAAGCACTCGTACACACACACACACAGGTCTGATGGAACATAGGTGTGGTTGCAGTTATTTTTATCAAGCCTCTAAGGACAACTGAGCTCAAGGGAAGGGAAAGAAAGAGTGGGAGAATGAGACTACTGGGTGGGCATACAGGAAGGGAGAGAGAGAGAGAGCGAAGGATGGAGGTTCAGTGAGGTCCATGTGGTGTGTGCACCAGCTGACGCCAACAGTTTGACAAAAGTTCTTCACTCTAGGTTTTCTAAATAATTCAGCAAGTTCTGAGAGCGAACACGCACGGTTGAAGTGCCATTACATCAAGGCCCCGGGTACCCGTTAAACAGATTTAGTGGAGGACAGCGGGTGAATGCTCTTTTATCTTCTTCCCTCTCATTTTATTTTGGTTTCCCGGTCTTCCTCGCAGGGAGTTGTGGAAGTTCTGAGCACTTTGGCATCTTATGAGGTAAGACGGTGCGTGTGAGTTTGTTTTATTGCCAAGGGGGCACTCGTGTACGCCTGCCAACTATGTGAATTTGTTCTTTTTGTGCAATAGTGTTACAAATCCGGCCATAAAACATACCTGCTATGAGGGTTACCGGGCTTTTTCCAGTGGAGTATATGCGGCTGATTGGATTTAAGGTGGAAAAAGGCTGTGTTTGTTTTGAGTTCAATAAACTAATGGAAGTTCAGGCTACATCACTTCTCTCCTGCACAAATGCACCTGGAGAACATACTGTATGTACACCGGTTTCATTTAGACTCGCACAGAAGGTTTATTGGATTTGCTCCATAAACTCAGGTCTGAAATGGTACACTCATTCAGTCAGTTGAAAACCAAGTGGAAAAATAGTTATTCAACCTGTGTCATCTGTGTTGCATGTACAAACAAACAAACACGCAACCTCTCAGAATTGAGATGAAGCCCCTGTGGTCCAGACTGAAGGGCTTTGCGGATGTTGATTGTGGTATCCGTAGAAACAGTCTGTTTGGAGCAGATGGGAAGGAAGAATGGAGCAAGAAGGAGCAATGTCCTCGGTGAGGCTGTAATTGTGACCATACATCTGAATAAGGTCTCCATTACAAGCAACCAGCCATTTTGAATCTTAAACCAGCCAAATACATTAGAAAGACTTAAGGCCTCATTCACTGATAGACAGTCCTTCAGTCAGCAGCTCTGAGTGATGTTATGTCTTTTCACCTCAGGATGTGAAGAACAACCTGAGAATATCCTGTAGTGTTTCCAAAAGTTATTTAAAGGCAGTGACACACCAAGCCTACTTTAAAGAACTAGCGGTAAGGAAAGCTGAATGTGTTGTCGCCTTTTGTCGGCTGCGTCTGGGCCAAAAAACTGCACTTGAACACACACGAAAATACTACACTTGACTGCCAACTCCTATGTGTAAGGAAATAACTCTCTGTATCAATAATAGTCTAAATTCGAAATTCAAAAAAGGAAACCGAAACTATGACTGCAGATACACAAATGGTAAACAAAGCAGTGCTAGCTTACCAGTTTGAGTATCAATGATGCTGTTCACTTTCTTAATTTATTAGGCTCTTATTATGAAAATATTTCGCTCTTTAAACTGAACATCCAATCAGTGATCTCTCTCACCGACTGCCCCGACGTGGATTCTGAAACAGGCAGACTCCCGCCGACATGAGCCCGACTTGTAGAACACACTGCAAACCAACAGACTCTTTTAGACGGCCTGACATCGGACTCAGAAAGTCATTTACTATATCTTTCAGTCTTGGGGATGAAATATTTCTGTCTTCATCTGCTCTTCTGTGTCCCAAAACCATCTCTGGTCTCTTTTGAAGTCTTTGCTCTTTGAGGTCACATGATTTCATTAGTGAACAGCTTTTCCACCTGAAATCTGACTTGCTGAAATCTGCAGATTTCCAAATTCGTCATTTACAAAGTCGTCATTTTCAAAAAATATGTTTGGTTGATTTGATAATGCTTTCAGCTACTGGGTTTTAAATTCATTTCACAGAAATTTTGTGGATTTTCACCAAAGATCTATTAGTCTTTAAATGGGTTAACACCATCTTACCTTTCCGATCTGCTGACAGTCCATCTTATGTCTCTTAGTGGCTCCTAGATCTACGATTAAGACTAGAGGAGCACTTAAGACTTAAAAAAAAAAAAAAAACTCTGTACAGCACATTCATCAATGGAAGTTGTGTTTAATTGTGCTTTATAAATAAAGTGAATGAATGATTGATTGATGGAAGATCAGCACAGAAAAAATGCAAAAACGTCTCCGGATTCTATCTGGGTCTGCTTATGAGACAAAATCTTACTGAATATTTTGTGAAGTATTAACTCTACCCACATTCTGACATTCGCTGTCCCCCACTGAGCATTTTATTCAGGCTGCATGAATATTCCCTTTATGCCCCTCTGGACACGATCTGTTTTTGATCTCCTCAAAAACCACATTCAAATATTCCTGCAATGCTCACCACATAGGAACATTCACACACAACACATGTGCATCTGTTTACCTTACAATGCAGACCGACAGTTGGCATTGGGATGAGCTTTACAAAAATGGTGTAGTGTGTGAACATGTTTCAGAAAGATTTGGTTTCATTGTTGAAATGCGTTGCTCACTTGTTACAAAATGGTGGCATGTGGATCCAAGCATGTCTTGAGTATGTTTACTTGTTCTGCTTCAAAGTTAAGAAAAAAATAGCCTGATTTTGTGGTGTTGCATGCACGCTGAATATAAACCTATTTAAGACAATCTTTTGTCATATGCAGTAGTCCTTTATAATTTCTTGATTTCTCTTATGATTTCTTCATTTTTGGTTTTACACTTATGCATTTGGCAGACACTTTTATCCAAAGTGACATCCCTGAGAATTGAAGCCATGACCTTGTCGTTGCACGCAAGCACCATTTACTGTTTAAACTTTTATTTTATTTTGCAGCTTAATATAATGGAGTGAACTACTTGCCCATTGTTTAAAAAAGAATGTCTGGAAATTACCATTTGGATGTAAATTTGAACCGCTTTGTAATCTAAATGAGATTTTATGGCAATCAAGTTTATACAGTAGTTCTCAATAGTCTGCTAGTTCTCAATAGCCCACTTTATAATTTATTGCATTTAAGAAAGAAAATATGGGGATTCTATATTAAATACTATATGTACTGTATATATATATATATATATATATATATATATATATATATATATTGATTTGCGAGCTAGATTTAAAGATAACTATTAACACACGTGTATAAAACTATTTTTTGGGCCAAATATGCCCTTCAGGTCTTTAGTTAGGCTATGGACCCTGAAACGTTTATGTTAGAAGCTGAGATTTACATGTGCGTGACTGAGTGAAAGTGTGATTTGTGTATGCTTTGACTGGGATAATTTTTAGTGTATGGGATTTACTTGGCTTTTGGAGCTGATCTTTGACCCTTTGTCCTATTTTATGTAGGAGGCTCTCTAATGGAATGACTTGGTATTGTGTGTCTGTACAAATTGTTGATGAATGGCTGTGAACTCTGTGCATATATACAGTACAACATTGTATGTATATTTGACTTCCGACCTCTCTGCCCCATGTTTTTAAAAGAGGAAGTGGTTACATGTGAAATGGACAAGGCTGTGTGGGTGTAACGGGGTTCAGATGTTATGGGAAGAGGGAGGCGAGAACCGGCAAACATTCAACACTTTTAATAATAAAATAAACAATATCAAAGTAAAGCCTTCAGTCCCTCACGGACGACTGATGGCCACAGAAACGCAGCACAAAATAAAATAAGGCCTGTTCCTCTCTCAATCTTCGCTCCTTAATGTTTCCGCTCCTCTGTGAGAGATGCGAGACCAGTGCGTCTCACAGGTGTCGCTCATTACCACCACAGTAAACGTGCTTATCTGTAAGTAAGTTCCGTCAAGTGTGTGTGGGCGTCTCTGATTTAAGCATTTAACCTCTATGTCCTCTTTGAGAGCAAATATGTGTTGTTAAATGGTGGTTTTTTTTTGTCCAGAGGACCTCAGAAATGTACTTTTTTTTCCTTCTGTGGTGTGGACACAAAGGCTACAATGCATATAAACATTATATTTAACCTTAAACTGTTTTTGTCTCTTGCTTATAGATAGAAGAGGGAGGAAAGGCAGCTCAATGTAAGAAGTTGAGAGTGGGGGATGAACTGGTGAACATTAATGGCTCTGCACTCTACGGCTCCCGTCAAGAAGCTCTCATCCTCATCAAAGGTTCATACAGGATTCTCAAAATCGTTGTCCGAAGGTATGCAGACACAAACATAGACATATTCACTGATTTAAGTTTTGGACATGTTTACTGTTGTTCTGTGAATTTTCAAGGGTGAAATGCAGAAATTTAATTTGGTATCCACGTGATCAGGAATTTTGTGTGGGGGCGAAATAATTATATATGCAGATTGTGCACATTGCTACACTATTCTGGGTTTCTGCAGGTCTTAAAAAGTGTTAATTCACCATTACCCAAATTAAGGCCTCACAAAGGTCTTAAATCAAAGCAGAAACTCTTACATTTATTAAGTCATGATGACATTAAATGATGCATTGTAAAAAATGTATATCTTTCCTCATCATTTTATAATTCAATTATGTCAACAAAATTAAACCAAGATGCTTTCACTTGAGACTTTTTAGAACAAATGTCATTAAGAAAACTTCCCTTTTGAATTAATTTTTTTTTCCGAGCCCATTTCCAGATATTTGTTTGTTTTAATCATTAATAAAAACAAATATTTTCACAGAAAACAATACTTCATATTTTATGTCATTTTGCATCTCCAGTAAGTGCATCTTAATTTAAGAATCTTTAGACATTTGCACTGGAAAACAAGCTGGAAGACAAAAATATTAAGGGAGAACATGTTTTTGCGGTATGATGATCAGATATTTCCATATTCTAGTGGTTGAGAGCAGAGGTATTCAATGTATTAAAAATGAATGGATATCTCCCTTGACATTTACATTTACAGAACATATTGACTTATTGTGTTCCCTTCAGTTTATTGATTTAAAAATTCTTTACTTGGTCTTAAAAACATTTAAATGTAGCTTCATTAGACTTGCACAAACCTTGCTATTGACAATAGACACTTTTTTTTTTTTTTTTTTGCCCACCAAATTTGTCCCGGAATGTTATTGCACCTTTATATTGAAGCTGCCATTTTGACACACATTGTATATATGCTAACTTAAGATGCGGTCACATATACCTTTTAGCAAAATTTTGTTGACGAAATCAAGTCTTTTCAAAAGGAATCCACACGATAAAAATTTTGCATTAGGGGGGAAATCCCTGTATAAATATTGCATTGGGTTCAGTTTGTCATGCAAATTCATGACCAACAGAACTAATGCGATTGCACCTTAGTTAAATTGCCGTTTTGATGCACACATGTAAGATCTGCTCACATTTACCATTTATTGGTGAATTTTTGTTGACAAAATCCAGTCATTTCATGCAAATTCGCCACTTTGTACTGTGTGGTTTGCAAGTGATTACTGTGCGAGCTTCACTATACTATCAATCATTTACGATTCACTTTCTTTGAGCCTAAAATTATGCTAACATGAACATGATCTTACAATAAAACTGAGATTTTGACTTCTGAAACTTCTAGAAAATGTGACTAGGATATGCAGCAGTGTTTTGCTGTGGGAGAGCTTCTGCGCAGTGGCTAAATCCACCAGTAGCCTCTGATTATGTGTCAGTTGTTTATTTTAACTGGTGTGATGCAAGCTGACATCAGCAGAGTTTGGCTGACAGGAGAGTTTTGTCACCCATGACTGACAAAATTGACTGACACACCCTGTTTGACTCTGATCTAGAATCAGAACTTCTGATGTCAATATTACTCCTAGTTATCAGGACATTCATGTTAGAGCTGTATCCAGGTCAGCGTTGGTCCGTTCAGTCTGACCACAGGGGATTTTCCAATTCCAGGCATGTGGACAATGAAAGTGTCATGTGATAGTGCCCCACTGTGGCTGTGTGCAGAGGTGCAGTTGAGGTGTCTTACCAACACATGCGCACACTCGCAAACATTTGAAGAATTGCAGTTGGTGATAAATGTTTACCTTTTATTGCTAGCTTTATGTGTGCAGGGTAAATGAGGTGCTGTGTGTTGTTGTTGAGTCTGGACTGGACGTCCAGTCGGCTGAGTCCAGCACATTCCAGTGTGTTGAGGCCTCACTGCATTAGTAGCTACCAGACAGCTGAGTGTACGTCCCACACTCCTCCCTCTTTCATCTTCTTTCTCCTCTCTCATTTATTTATACTGTCCTCCCTTCCTCCCACTCAATAAAGCCACAATCTTCATTCTTTTCACCAACAGTCTCAGTAAAACAAAAAACTTTCATAAAGCATTCATAACATCATTCTCTAGTTGAAATATTCTGTTACCACATTCTCTAACATCAATCTGTAGCCTCTCAGTATTTTGTAACTTGTATAGCTCCATTTTATATCCTCTTAACAGTTTATAGTTTCAAAAATATATTTTATATATATGTGTTGTTACAGAGTGTTGTTAAGTGTTCAAGAAAATGCAATAAAGTATCACAAAAACCTTATTTTTAGAAAAAAATAATATCTGTTGAACCATATGACAGTTGGTCGGAAGTGATGGTTTATAGTTTTAATTTTAAATATTAAATATTCGTTGTTTTTTTACATACACCTTTTGTTTCACTTCAAAAGGCATTACTTCATCATCTGGGGTTGTATGGATTACCGTCATGTTTTTTGAAGTTTAAATTTTTGAAGTTTAAATTATAGGCAATAGGCATCATATATATATATATATATATATATATATATATAATCCACTTTCGTTATTTATAGAGAGAGATTATTTTCCTAAAAATCTTTGTGTGTCCATCTGAAGAAAAAAGTAATATATATATATATATATATATATATATATATATATCTGGGACAGCATCTAGACATTTGTGTGTGGGGTATCTTTTGAAATTTATTTTATAGGCTCTCAACAGGTTACAACTTTTGAAATCTTATTTTCTATCCTGATTATCTTATAACATCTAGGGATGCACAATATATTGGCATATTAGCATATACAGTTAATTGGCACAATATATTGGCATATACAGTTACCTGCTGGTATTAGAGATTTACATTTTTACATTTCTAAATTTTACATTTAGATTACTGTTATCTAACACAATTGTACTAACATTTTAGCAAATCTCTAAATATCCATTACCATTATCCATACTGTACATTATAATTTCAACATAATTGTCTTTTTTATTTATTTAGACTAAATTTAATTGATTTTTTAATATTCTACCATACTGGAATCAGCCAGAATTGTATTATTGATGTATTCCTAATAAACACATGCTTGAACCTCTTAAGCATGCTTTAACCTGCATTACCCTTATTCTAAAGCTTTTAAACAGTTTCTAACTTTTATAACATCATTCTCTTACTTCAATACTCTTTAACTTCTGTGAACTCTTTTTATAATCTCTCATCATTCTCAAACCTCTTGACAACCATCTAACCTCTTGACATTCTCTATTTATCTTATCTGTTGTAAATAAACCAATTCAATATGCTGTTTATTTTTGTTCATACTCAAACACCAACCCTCACTCACAAGATTCTCAAAACACAAGAATTCTCATGAGATTTTTTTTTTTTTTTAAACAAAACACAAACTACTTGAGTGCACTTAAGGTACAGGAATTTAGAATTACAGTCTCAGACTATAAACATGCTTTTAGCCAAAGAAAAATCTGAACTTTTAAACCTCCAGGTTTAGGATGGCCATCCAAACACCAGCTCTGCAGAAGCTAGCCACAGAGTCAGCGGTTCAGAAGAGGAGAGGAGTGTAGAGATGGAAAAAATCCTTTTCTTTTTACATCCGTTTATTTGGCTGCAAGTCAGAAATGCTGCAGTCTTTGTGTTATTACCCTGCGGTTTCTCTCTTGCTGTGGTTTTCGAGGCAGCACATCCTATTCTCTCTCTCTGTGTGTGTGTGTTTGTGTGTTTCTATTTGTGGGTTTGATCCCCAGTCACACCAGTGGAACTGTGCCGGAGGCTCTTGAAGGAATCAGATTTAATTGTTGTATGTGGATAGACTTTTGCTGTATATGTTGTCTTTTTGCATGCGGCCTGTTTTTGTATAAAGCTAATGGGTTGGATAGGTTGGAATGCTTGTTTATTCATGCTTGGCAATCAATCTAACATAGGCACTACTACTGTATCATTGAAGAAGATCAGTGCCCTTGCCGCTATGTTTTAAATCATGTCTGTATTGTGAGGATGTTCAAATGGCTTTACAGAATTTTCAAAGTAATTGTTACTCACCTTTAACCTTTAGCAAAAAACACACTATTGACCTTTCTGCATTATCGAGAATGTGTGTGTGTGTGTGTGTGTGTGTAAAAGAGAATCTTCATTTCTGGTTTATGGCTAAAAGGAAGGGGCTTAAGTATGACTTTGTGTATGTGAGGTTTTTGAAATGGTGTGTTTATGTCTGTGCATCTTTGGACGTCAGTAGAGGTCACATGCATCACGCAGGGCTCATTTCCACCTCCATTTCAAGTCCAAGGAATGTGACTATTCAGTCAGCACCACGATAGAGAAAACAGCACAGTATATTAGGAAGCATAAAAATACACCGTTCAATACGCTTATACCAGCTAGTAACTGAGACTTGAGCCATTGATAGGCAGTTATTGAGAGAAAGAATGAGGGACAGGGAGGGCAGCTCTCAACAGTGTTTGATGGCTAACTGCTTTAAAAACAGTGACGTTACTTACCACCTCGCTACTGAGAAATGTCGTGTAAGTTTTCGAATGTAAACTATTTTATCAGTCAATTGCAGGCAGTGCTGACAACAAATTTCTGTGTCCGTGTTTCTGTCTGTGCGAGTGGGTGTCTGTCAATTGTTTGTCATTTTTGTCATTGTCCTATAGTCAGTCATATTTGTTTGCTTTGCCAGTGTCTTGGATTTTTGGTTCATTGGCTGTAAGGAAATAACTGATGTGGCAAAGTGATATGGAATATGCTGTTGACAAACCTGTGTAAAATCATTGCACACCTTAGAATTTTTGTCAACCAATCAGAGTCAAGCATTCAGCAGCACTGTGGTGTATATAAAAATTGTCAATTTAATGTCATATTTTTTTGTGTACATATTTATTTGGTCACACTTTAGATTGGGGTCCAATTCTCACTATTAACTAAATATTAACTATGACTTTTGCCTTAAT